TTTTACCTACATAATTTTATAAAATGTAAATGAACTACTGCATAATTATCTGTGAAATAACTCATGCCATTTTTCAGGGAGCAAAATAAAAATATTAATTCATCTGCTTATTTTAAAAGGAAAATCCTTTAAGTTTTAATACCAAGAGTATACTAACCCTTTATTTAAAAAAGAAAATATATTCTTCCATTGTTGTAATCAGTTGTAATCAGTTGCAACCCTCAATAAACATTCTATAAACTAGGAACTATAGATAACAGATGTACTAAATCACAAGAGCAAGACTATTTTCATGTACAGAGTTTGGTGATATGTTTAATTAAAATGGATACTTTTCTGAAACAGAATTCCTTTAATATATTTTATTCTTCTTGCTGCTGGTATTGAATTTTTTTAAATTGTAGGTTTCTATATTGGTTGATAAGCAGTTCTGGGTCTTAGTAAAGTTAGATGCATATTAGTTTCTGCAATGGGGCATTTTCTAGTATTTGAAATTCATAATTAGGTAAGTAATACCTTTAGTTTTCCTATACTTTACCTTAGTTTTAAAATCAATTAAAAGTAGATATAATTTTTAAATAGCTTCCTTTCTTTCCTTTATTTTCTTACTAGGTTAAAATGCCTGCAGCTTAATCTTAGAAAAAAAAATTCTCATATTTATATGAAATCTAAATTCCTTAATTTTCCTCATGACTCTAGTACTCTCTTTCATTAATAATTTCATTTTCACTACCTAGCAAAATGCTTTAAATAAAAATAAGATTTTGTTCCTTACTTTGCACTAACATGAATTGATAATTGTCAAAATAACAAAATGTCTACAAAAATTTTAACTTCTTCTGAAGCACTTTCCAGTAAATACTCTTAGTGGATCTAAAATTCTTAATATTACCAAATATGTAAATGTAATCATCAACTATTATATAGCAAAAATCTGTGCTTTGACTCCTGTACTTTGTCATCGGAAATTATCAGTGCTTCATTCTATTTTCACTAAAGAATAATCAAGATGACATTGCAATTCCATCTGTGAGTCAGGAATCCAACAATACCAAATACGTCATTCACACACTGTCACAATTATAACTCCTTTTCATGGTATTTTTGCTGTAATTCATTTTTTGTTTGATTTTTATTTTTAGTTCAACTGTTGATGCAAAATCAGACGAAGCTACTAAAATGGAAAAAGGAAAATCAACATTAAGCACAGTTTTGGAATCTCTGTGCATACATCACCAGCAACGAGTTTTGGCTATGTTGAGATTTCTAGTCCAAGAGCAGAATGCTGCTTCTCTTTGCTGTTGTAATCCATCATGTGCTATGTCTTCAGACTCTCAAAAGCCCCTATTGGAAGATGCTGTACATGGTCTCTTCTGTAGCTGTGAATATAGACTGGCAGAAGGAGGGTGTTTACAAAATGAAAGACAAAGCCCTGGTTTAGTGCCTCTGCCAGTCTGTATTAAAGAATTACATTGTGTGTCTTGCCAAACTGTAACTATTAAGACAGTAATGAATAGAGGTATTGAAAACAGTCATAATTCACACAGGTGCTGTTCTAGACGGTTAACAAACATTCACTCCACAAAATCAGCCTTTCATAGTCCTCTTCTGTCAAGAGAAGTTTGTGATCTTTCAGTCAGTCTTAAGGATGTCTGTAGATCTCGAAGTCCCTCACCCCCACCATTATCACCTGTACAAACTGAAGGATTTGAAAAACTGAAAGACATCATCTCAGAGCTTTCAGCCTTAGAAAACAGCAAACTTGAGACAATCACTAATCAGCCTCCATCTCTAACACCAGCAGAGATGAGCGTTAACAAGGGCGATCATGACAGCAAAATGCATAAAACTAAGAAGTCCAATAATGCCGAATCTGTCCTCTTTGATGCTAACAGTAATTATACTTCAAATCATGAAAAATGTGAAACAGCTCTCATTTTTCAAGATTTAATGGAGCGTATTAATGAGAAATTAAAATCAATAGAAACCACAGATACGTCAAACCTCATAAAATTATCTAGCAGTGATTGCAATACAGATAATGATTTTAAGTTGGGAGATTTAATAACATCTCTCTTGCACAATGCAAAGGCCAGTGATTATAGTTTTACGGAACTGCTGAGTGAACATGATACAAATGTAGAAAATAAAATTCAAACAAGGTTTCGAAAACGTCAACAAACCTTCCTTGCAATGCACAGCTCTCCTGACTCACCTATGATTAGAAGGCAGTCTTTACAGATCAAAAGAGAACTTGCCAGTCTTGATGAAAATTTTCTAAGAAAAAAGTACAATGGAAAAAATTCAAGAAAATTGGCACGCAGTGATGGGATATTTTCGTTGGACAAAGAAGAATTCCACCATTGTCAAGAGCCCTTACAAAATTCTAAAAACCTTCGAGATAAAAGTCATGCAGAACCATTTTCGTCAAGTGATGCAGCACAGTCATGGCAGGTGCCCTTCCCTGGTGTAGAAGCTAACACCAGCAGACACAGTGTGGCTTTTGATCAATTCTCAGAAAGCTTGAAATCACCTTCATCTGAAAAAATGAGCCAAAGAAAATCACAGGAGAAATTAACAGCTGAAAAACAGACTTTACAGAATAAGAGGGAGCATCTAAAACTAGAAAATACTAAAACGCCTTTGGAAAGTGATGGTCCTGGACTTCTGAACAGAACTAAACGAAATATTGTGCCTCCGGGGTGGTATTCTATATACGTAACAAATAATTTTGTTTTCAAAAAATCCCTTGAGGACAAAAGAATAGAATTCATCCAAAAAAAAGACCCAGTGAAAAATAATCCACTTGAAAGTTCCCAAAATATAGACTTAAGCAAAATTGCAAGGAATTCTAACTTGCAAGTTGTCGTGGAGCGTTTGGAAGACACAATAAACATGGCTCAAAAGCCTTGGAATAATCAAGCGTTATCTGAAGAATATAAAGCACCCAAGAAAGCAATAGAAACTGATGGTAAAGGCCGAAACACTGGGCGAAATTTGACTTTTACTTTCAGTCGAAAGGCATGTAAAGAACAGGGTTTATCAGAATCTGTGACAGCATCCAGCAGTGTCAGAAGTCACGGAATGCCTGCCATGGATTTGAATACCAAGAGACTTGATAATCCAAAAAGGGCACCTGTTTCACAGAGAGGCACTTTGATACCCAGTTTTGAAAGGAAACAAACAAAATGTGAAGGTACTAAAAACACTCCTACATCTAACTATTCTAGTCCTATCAAACTCATGTTTTTATCTGAGATTAAAAGCAGTGAAGGAATCAAATATACTTTAACTTCAGTCCGTACTTCACAATCAGATGCTGATTTTTCTTCTCAAAAACATACAGCTCGTCAGGTAATTGAAAGAAAAACAGAAACAAAAGAAGACATCTCCAACACTAGCTTTGAAAACTATAATTCTAATAATCATAAAACTGACTATCTTCAAAGAGAAATAAAGAGAATTAGTTGTGTAAAGGAAACTGCAGAATCCTCTGTAGTGTTTGCAGATAATTTAAATGTTGATAAGCTGCAAGCAGACCCTAAGGAAAAGATAAGTGGTGCGGCTGCTGATTCATTTAAAAGGAAACCTGGCAGACCCAAAAAGATAGGTCCCCAAGTTGTGAAGCAGATTAAACGACCCATTGGCAGACCACCAAAACTTAAAACCAGTCAAACAGATTTCACTGTTTGCCAAAATGAGTCCTTCAGTGTTGGAAAGAAAAGTTCAGAATCTCTCGTATCAGAAGTGAAAGAAGGCATTTGCAAAAAGAGTATAATAGTCACTGTTATATATGGAAGGTCAAGAAGAACTAAAAGGCATGTTTCTGAGGGAAGTATAGACATCAGCAGTGTTTCATCACTGAAGAATAATGTTACTGACTTTCCAATTGACTCTCATCGTTTCAGAAATATTAAAGAGCTTGAGATTGACTGTGGTGGAAGTGTAAGCGCTGGGTCAAGACTGACTGCTGAAAGTGAGGTCTTGGGTTCTGGCTTTGAATACATTAGACCTATCAAGGGCAAGTCTGTGATCCCTCAGCCTTCCAAGAATGTTGCTCGACCAATTCACAAGCCTTTGTCAATAATTAGGAGGCCTGGTAGGCCTGCAAAAGTGAAGATCTCTGGTATATCTGTGACTGTTAGTAGAATTTCACCTCAGGAAAGAGAAATTAGCATTAGCAGCTCCTTACCTCCTTTAGAACAGGAGAGTGTCTTAGAGAAAACTCAGCTGGAAGAAAAGTTTGACCAACAGTGTAGTGAGATGGATAAAACAAGACATACTGAGATTGACAGATTTAAGAATGGATCAAAAAGTATTAGTGCTGTACATCAGAGACATTCAGTTCGGGCTAGGAAACCACCCTTGCATTTCTTACATTCATTAGCATCTTCTAGCTCATTTATTTACAGAAATTCTCTGGTTCATAAATCATGTCAACTCCATTTGCAGAAAGGCAAAAGTCCAAAGGAAAAACATAGGAAGTCAAGTTTAAAACTAGCTTTCAAAGATAGCCCAGGAACTAGACGTTCAAGGAATGCCAAAAAATGTCTGGAAGATAACAAATTAATACCCATTTCTGAAGTATCCTTGGACCCTATTTCATCAAACCCTTTGCACAGGTGGTGGGCTACTTCTACTTCAAGTGATTCCTTATTAGAGGAATTGAACAATAGATTTGAGCAAATAACAAATGCGTGGGTGCAAGTAAGTGGGGATGAAGCTCAGAATTTTGCTCGTAAAGCAGAATATGTTGAAAGTGATCATTTCAAAATAGCAAGCCCTTTGGAAACCTGTTTTTTAGAACTTGAAGTTTCACCTGTAAAAATGCTTTTTCAGAAAAAATATAATCTGAATGAACTCTGTACTTGGTTTATGCAAACAACAGAAACACAGTCTCTTTCACTAGTTAGAAAAGCAAATGCTCGAAACCCTTTGGAAGTGATAAATACCAAGGGCATTAAGTTAGGGATGAAATACTGTGATTTTAATACCAGCCCCTTCAGGAAGCACTTTAAAAAATTCGCACTCTCTTCTCCTTCAAAGTCAGCTGGGAGGTTGCATATACTACATAAGATGGTTGACTCACCACTCCTAAATGTGAAAAGTAATTTCACACTAGCTAGATTGAAAAGGACTGAGTTTAAGAGGTTGCACCTTAAAAGATGGAAAAGGGAGAGAAAGCCGCACAGCCATGGAACGGTTGATTGGAACTCTAAGAGAAGGAATTTAAGATTTTTCTGCCAGAATACATTTTTAAATAAGACTGAGAGGGAGACAGATGCTGACACACCATTCCATGGAAAAATCACAGTAGGTAACCAGTGGACTTTGCCCCCTAGAACAAGGAATGACTTAATAGAAAAGAGGATGGCAGTGCCAGACCTCAAAACACATGCTGGTTTAGAGAGTAAATTCAAGTCAGAAGCTAAGGTGAGTGGAACAGATTGTGGCCAAATAGATTTTGAAAAGGGACAAACACTAGGAAATGTATGTCCCAGTGATTGGAGGTCAAAAACCTTAAAAGACTGTAGAATATTTTTGAGGAAGATCAATTGTCTTGAACACAGAGATACTTTTAAGCTAAATACAATCATTTACTCTCCTGAATCTATTGACAGTGGAAATAATCATCAGGCACAACCAGAAGAATCAAAGCATTTTAATTTAAGGTCCTATTCTGCCAGGAAAAATTATTTTAAAGAGCAAAGTAAAGAAAGAGAAAATGCTAAAGCAAATAGTCCTTCAAGTGACAAGCTGACTAGCAAGCTTGGCAGTAGTAATTTAGGTAAATGTGTTAACTTTGACAAAAATCCTTCGGATAATTCTGAAGCTCTTAGCAAATTGAACAAAAGAAAAAGACCAGCATGGAAGACCACAGAAATATCAACAAAAAGACATAAACAACAGTCTTGCAACAATGGACAAATGGCAAACTATTTTACAAAATCTCAATTAGGTAAGTTTTTCTCTACTTAATTTAAAGTTTCATTATAGGTGCCTTCAATAAAGCATAATATAGCAAGTAGAAAAGGAACAGCTGATTCATGTTTTATTCATTTCTAAAATATCAGAACAACCTTAAAATTGTGGCACCTAGCATGAAACTCATGGCATTGGGTGCTGTGACATGTGTGAGTGCACTGCGCCTCTCAGTGTGTCTGTGATTTCAAGCACATGAGACTATATTTAGTAAAGACAAAAAGCTTCTTTGTAATATATCATGAATATACAAGTTCTGTTACCTGGTTTTGCATTTGATAGACCTAAAATAGATATTAAATCAGAAAATAGTTTGATAGAATGAATATGACCATATAACTAAAAATTACTGTTACAGGCTAATAGGTACACTCACTTTCTTCAAAAATAACAACTATTGAAACCATACCAGAAAAAGCTGAGGCTATCTCATTCAAGACTATAAAATACTGCAATCCTAGGTGTCAGTTTTCTTCCCCATCAAACTGTCATGCCATTTGATGCTACTTTGAAACTTATTATTTTTTCTTTTTTTTTATTTATTTTGATTAAAAGAAGCATTTCATTACAACAGCATTAACCTATTCAATAACATTTTTCTGAGCTAGGGTACATCTCTTTCAAAATTGGCTGTACATTTCTAGGTTTACAGATGAATTATTACACTTATAAAATCTTATACTCATTATAAACTCTTTTTAAACTCTACTTATTTGAAAAGTGATATACTAACATTTTTTCAATAACTCATCAAATATGTTAAATAGGGGTTTTTAAATACCAACTATTGAACTCATTTTAGCACATAGGAAGATGTGATTCCTTCCTATAACCTAGCAAGTCACTGTTACAGTAATCTTAAATTAAGAATGCAAAAAAAAAGTTAAGCGTAAGGATTTACTTAAGTTATACTGACTTGACATTGGTACCTAGGGAGACTATTCCTCTTAAGAATCTAGTCAAATGATTATATGAGCCTGATAGTTGCCAGCCTAGCTGCTTCCCTCTACTTATTTAGTAGGTGCTGGACAGTGCAGGATATTAGAAGGCCAGGAGATCTTAAAAGAGGATTGTCTCTCCATGAAAGAATGCCAGGTTATATTTGGAAACAAGGATATATTTTATAACTTGAGTTCATTTTTACATTGTATATTTTACGAGGGGATTTTGGAGGACTTAGAGAAGTCTTAGTGGCTTACTAGAGTAAATAGTATCAGGCTTCATTAAAATACTAAAAGCAGAGGTTTAATAGGTTAATGATTTTTATGCCCCCATCCCAAATTCACTTAACTGAATAATTTTAACATGCCTAATTCAGTACTGTCTAACATGGAATGATTAAAATTTTAAATATCTGACATGAAATGACTGGATACTTAAAAGAGGTCAAAATAGAATCTCCATCATGAAACATAAATGAAAATTATGAAGAATAATTTGGCTATGGTCCTCAAGATAACTAAAAATAACGTTATAGCAAATAAAACCATGTAAAGAAAAAAAAGGGAAAAAGACCTGATAATGATTTTTTTTAGTTTATAATTCACCTAAAATATGCAGATATATTCATGAAGAATAAAATATAGTTTCATTTTAAATTCTCTGTATCATCTTCATTTCATGCTGTTACAGATTATCAAAAGTGATTTTCCATTAATTCATTTTACAACAGAACCGTATTTTATTCTTTCAGGCACTTAACCATTATATTTTCCTAAGAATAAAATATAAACTTTATTTTAATATTCTTCACCCCACCAAATATATCATCCAAAACCAATACAAGAATATTTAAATATTATTTTGAAAATTAATTTAAAAATCCTTTTGGGGTATTTAAAAATTAGCATCATATGAAGAGTTTTTCATCTTTTCCATTTTAAAATTTACTAGTGCTAGTTCATGTTCTGCTTAAAATTTTATTCATCTTTTACTGATAACTTTCCTTCTTTATTTTTTAACATTCTTTTTTAATCAACAAGATCATTATTTTTATAGAATTGTATTTATAAGAGTATTTGTTGTACTGATCTGATTTTAATGTTTCTGACAGTGTTGGTGTTTTCTCGTTACTCTTGGTATCCCATACTTCTTTTTGCCCTCTTGGAAGTGACACTAAAACTCATCATTAGTTTTATATGTATTTTACTTTTTCATAGAATTATTGGAGACTAAAGACTTAAAAGACTGTTACCAGGATTTTTCTAGAAAAATTCTTAGGATAATGTGCATGGTAAATTTTGGAATATTTCTATTGGTGAAAAGTATTGTTTATATCATGAATGCCTTGCCTTTGTACATTTTGATATTCTGTCCAGATATGATTTAATACATAAAATTTCACTACATTTGTAGTGCTCTGTATTAAATGTAGACATGGGAAGAAAGAAGGAAAATGCTTTTCTATCCAATTATATTTATACTATTTAATGGATGGCTAAAATATGTTCTTAGTTATTGTGGAAGGTCCAGAGAATCCCTTTTTCATGTAAATGAAAAACAAGACCTACATATTTGCATAAATAAAGTGTGTTTTATTTTATGCCCTAAGTAGAATATTATATTTTTTAAGGTAATAGAATGGTTAACGGCATGGGTTTTGCTCTTATGAAGCTTAACATCTTATGAAGAATAGAAAAATGTTTATTGAAAAGGATATTTGTGTGACTTATAGGAGGAACATGTAGGTAGAAAATTAAACTCAAATTTATCCAACATTGTTGTATATAAATAAGCTCAGACTTGAAAGATCCTCACATACTAGCAGCCAGCAACTAGAGCAACTTACATAAAGAAAATTTGGGTGATAAAGAAAATAAGCTCATTTGAACATGAGTAATTTATCAGAGCTAAGGTATAAAACAGAAACCATGGATTGGTCAATCTGAGGATAGAAAAATCATAAAAGACAAAGCTCCTGGGAGAAGCATGGTTCAAATTGTGAGGTCAGCATCAGCTAATAGGAAAATTTTTAAATAGAAGTTTTAGAGAGGTCTATGAAATAAAGTCAGTGTCTTAACCAAGGGTGTAGGGGAATAAAGGGAAACATCCAAGACTTCACCTTGAGCATCTGGAGATCAGCATTCATTGCGATAAAAGAACACTCTGAAAGGTTCAGTTTTAGCTGTGAGGATTATGTGTATTTAGCAGGATATGTAAGGAAGGCATTTAAGAAGCAGAAAATGTCTGTTGTCCAGAGATGAGGCTCAATTGAGATGGAGAGTGGAGAGTCAGCAGCTGAAGTCACTGGAGTGGGAGGGAGAGGTCCTGCCACGTACAACTGTAAGAGCCTAGGATCCCAGAGCACCAAGGCTGCAGGGAGAAGATGTGCACAAGACACTGATGGAAAGTGGTCAGGAGTTAAGAGGAAGGCTGAATAGTGGTAAAGGAAAATATGTTTAAGTAGGGAGTATAATTGATCTTAAGTCAATTAAAATGAGCCTTGAAATGATTCCAGTGAATCTTGCAGCAAGGGGTTATCCTAGTGATTAAGGAGAGAACAACTTTGGTGAACTAATATACCTAAAAGTCAAATTCAATGTTAGGTGGGTAAGTGGAGAGAAAAAAAAAAGTGTAAATTACCCACAGAAAACTGTGGAGTCAGACAGGTAGGTAGCATAAGCTGAAGTTGAACGTGAGTTTATGAAAACGTTGAATGTCAGTGGGAGAGCTGCTGAAGAGTAAAAAGGTTGAATATATAAAAATGAGAGGGTAAGCAATAAAATGGGAGTGAAGCCCTAGAGTTGATTATTGATTATAGGATGGGGGGGTGTAAGAACTTGGTCTCAACCAGGGGTTCATGTTGCTCTTAAAAACAAGTGGGAACAATATGTGAGGATACAGATGAGTAACTCATGGGCAGAATGTTGAGATGATAGACTTCATTTTATATGAATTAAGAGGTAATTTTGGGGCCTTAGTTGCTAAAGTGCCTGCTGTGCAAGCATTAGGCAATGAGTTTGGATCCGCAGCATGCATATAAACTGTACTGTGGTGCACATTTGTAACTCCTCCACTGAGGCAACAGAGAAGGGAGGATCACTAGAGCTCACTGCCCCCACCCCCCATTGAACTAGTCACAGTGATGAGTTCACTTTCCGTGAGACCTTGTGACTCTGTCTCAAAAAATAAAAGGGAGCACTACAAAGGAATGCAACAGATGTCAATCTCTGGCCTCCACATGTGTATACATGCTTAGTCACCCATGTGTACATATGCACATACTACATGAGCATGCACATACACAAAGTAATCTGGGAGTAATATGGTAGGATTAGGGAACATAATGTTTGAAATAGCTGTCTCTAGACATACAGGATTGGGTAGTGGTGTTTTTCTCAGTTGCCTGGATGTAAACTTGGAGAAAAGTGAGCCATTAGATTTACTAGTATGTGGGTTCGTGTAGGTAAAGCAGAAAGTCAAAGGAATCCTGTCAGGACTGTATCATCATTCTTTGAATAATAAGGAACTATGTGATCAGAATTGAGTCACAGATAGTGTTTTAATAGTAACACAAAACGTAGTCTGGAGGTTAGAGAAGGAAATGACTATTTGATTATATGTAGTTCGCACACACTCACACAGTTTTGATGGTACTAGGGATTGAACCAAGGGCCAAGTACATGATAGGCAGGTGCTCTACCCCTGAGATAAAGCCCAAGCCCCAAAATATGGTATGACAAGGGCTAATTGTGGAAGTTTTAAAAGTGATATTAGCCTAATAGGGAGTGTTAACATCTGAAAATAGTAATATAGACCTTTGCTAATATCTGTGTCTTTTGAGTTCCCAAAGAAATGTATGCCTTTTCTTAGCTGGTAAGTATTTAGGTGTAAATGCACAGCTTTTGGACATATGTGAGGTAAGTGTTAAGACTAAGCTCCAGGACACATGCCTTTAGTCCCAGCAATCAGGAGGCAGAAGAAGGCCAGATCTCTGTGAGTTCAAGGCCAGTCTGGTCTTCATAGGGAGTTCCAGGC